TCCACGCCCTCCTAAAACGCCTCGTTTAAACACGCCCCAACATGTCTACGTCACTGTGTGGGAAGATTTGCATAATGCCGCCCAAATGTTCACGCAAAGAAAGAAGGCGTAACTTTTATTCTCGCTGTAGTATTGTTGAGGCGCTGTGTGTTTCGTTGTGAAAGCGAAACTACTTTGTTTGGTCTTCCAAAAGAGGACACGACTACAAATCAGTGGTTAAGTTGTATTTACAACACTGTTCCAGAACACTTCAACCCAAATATTCAGATGTGTGCAGCGCATTTTATGGAGGACTGTTTTCTGATCCTGGTAGAGTAGACTACAATGCCGGCTGTTCTGACTCACAGACTGTAAGTACGTTTTCATTTGAAGGATTTGCCACTGATGATTCAAACGCGAGTTTTGGGCAGTGTGGATTAACGTTAGCACTTGTTGTTTGTCATTTCTCTGATCATAAATGCAGACATGGTTTTATGTTTACGCGGCGCGATGCGACGCAACGCAATGCATAAAAGGACAGTATAAGTCATTATAATCAGTAGTTATGTCCCCACTGGATGCAACAAATGCCTCGTTTGTAATGGGTTTTAATGTTTTTGTCTCGTCGCTCCGGCCGGGACACGGCATCAACAGTATGGTGAGGGGTGTAACATTTCCGTCTCACGCTTGAGGTATTCGGCCAATCACAACGCACTGGATAGCTGGCCAATCACAGCACACCTCGCTTTTTCAGACCGATGAGCTTTGTAAAAATCGACGCGTTTCAAAAAGGCGGGGCATAGAGGAGAAACAATAATGTACAGTATGTGGAAAATAATGTGTTTTTTTTTACTTTAAACCGTATAAAACACATTTCATTACACCAAATACACAAAATAATGTGCTTTTTAGCAGCATCACATGACCCTTTTAAGATAGTTTAGGTGACTAAACACACAGAGTGTAAAAACACACAGTAGTTAAACCTAAATTACTCAAAGTAGATTTATTTAATAAGGTATATTAATAGCTTTTCCCGTCAGTCACCAGTATTTTCTGACCTACCTGCTTAAGATGCCCTAACTTAAAACCATCTATTACAACATGGGCACATTGTGTGAGGCAGAGAATAACCTGTTGAGACTACTACTGCACTAAAAATGTTAAGGTAGGAGAAACCCTTTTCCTTTTGTGAAGCACATACTACAGCTATTAAGTGAATTGCTAAAGTGTGCTTAAGTGACACAGTATGAAAATCTTGACTTTCAAACTGCAAATTCCATGAAAGGTTTTATCTTTTTGGTGTGGTATTTTTAAAAGTTTAGGTTGCTTTCTAGTTCTCTTTTGTGCTGTGATACAGTCAGTTCTGTACAGCCGTGGTAGTCTTTTTTGGTTTTGGTTTTTATTTGGCAGACCACTTCAAGAATAAAAAAAAATAAATGTTGGTACAAAACCACGAATCTCATTCTTCAGCCACTGCAGTTTGATGGACACCCAGGCCACACCCAGGGTCCAAATGGTGTCTGCTTGGCACTGTCACCCACCTCTGTGAGGAGGAAGTGCCGCTTGGAGCACATGACCGTATGTGTAAAAGTCAAAGGATTCTGTGATGGTGGGGAGAAAAGGCGAGAAGGGTATAACTGCAGCCCAGAGATCTCCAAATGGGGGCGGGAACTCCAAAACTGGGTGGGAGCTCCAAAATAGGGCGTGACTTCCTCCCATTGACAGACAGGCACATGACACACATGCACAATTTTTCCCCCAATCCACTTCAGTGCAAACTCCGCCCCACAGCTGATTCTAAAGATTTTATTGGTTGTGTCAATTAAAGTGATGATTTCCTACACTATGCTACAAAAATGCTTGCTGAAGGAGATAAACAGTTAATAAGATTATGCGATATGAGATCGTTCCGTAACTCCCCAACCGGACCTCACCGGACAATGGCACCTTTTTAGTTACACCCAGTGTCACTACCCCCTCCTACCCTGCGAATTTTGAGCCCGGGGACGCCCCAGTTGCTTAGAAAAAATGATAGAGTGAAATCTTTCCCCTGCCCTGCGCTGGGACGGCTCGCGGGAGATTCCCGTTTATATCATTAAGCAGAGGTTCAACCTCCAGTCCGAACACCACTGGCCACAAGCTTTGGGCTCTGCTCTCACTGAGAATATTTACTTATTTTAGCATATTTTATTTTAGATGAACTAGAAACAATGTTACATTTATAAAGTTTTATTTTGAAATGTAAGTCAATAACAATTGGCTGGAGCCAGAGCCAATGGTGAAAGAATTTGCTCGAGTAGACCCCGCCCCATTTTGGAGGTTCTGCCCACTTTTGGAGTTCACGCCCTATTTTGGAGATCTCCGGTCTGCAGTTATATCTACTTGGAGAAGGCTGGTCTAGACACAGCTCCTTTAGATGCAAGACCTGATTGAGACCATAAGAATTCCACAGGTAAGATAATGCAGTGTTGATAACCAGAGTGACAGACAATAGAAAGTGAGATTGATATTAACTCAAGTTAACATAAATATGTATGTTATGACCAGAGGCGGACAATCCGGGGGTCAGAAAGTAAAAGTCCTGCCATATGTTTATTCCACCCATGAACTCAGCAGCTGATTTCAGCAGAGGAGGAACCAAGTCATTCCTTTCAAGTCACAAGCAAGTCTCAAGTCAAATCCCAAGTCCCAAATCCCAAAAAGCTTGAGGAAACAGCTTACAAGTTTTGTTTTAATCTCACCTGAGTGAATATTGTGAAGGTGTTTTTCTTTGGTTTATTGACTAACATTCAGCTGTTACAGAACAGAAAAAAAAGTCCTATTAAACAAATGCCACCATAATGCTTAAATAT